AACTAATGGCTCATATACATTTGCACAACATGAAAGCAATGAAAACTGCAAGATAAAATGCCAGATGCGATCTTCACCCATTGAGAAATAAACGAGCAAAGTAATTTTTTTTTTGGTTAAAATGTTTCTAGAAATAAAATCAAGTTCTACTTCAGCTTGCAGTGATAGCAGAAATCCTGTAATTTGTTCAAGCATGGTAAAAAAATTTAATAGGGCTAAAGCAAGCAACCTCTAAGGCCACTATAGTCCTACTGCATCAAAACAAGATTGTAAATTAAAGCTAGTCTTGACAAGAAGTATTGTACATGCAAAGTCTGTATTTATGTGTCTAATTATTCATATTTCTATTTATTTGTCTATTCATTAATTCATATATTTTATTTTGCATAATATTCATTTATTGGTAAGTGGACCTAACTTGCAACATAAAGTTAATCAGATTGGGTTTGAAACATGCTCTTAAAACTTACTTTTTGGTTTCTTTTGGATTTGCTATTTCTAAAGCTTTGATAACATCTTTTGAGACTGTAGCCAGTCTCTCAGTTGCTTTTTCTGCTTTGTCCAGGGCATCTCTGAAAAAATTGAAGGAAAAAGACTCCTTGTAATTCAAAACTGTATTAATTTATTAGATGATAACATCAAAATATTTTGATTGGCTTGATGTTTTCCAGCACCCATTTATACTCCTTCAGGGAGAAAGAGAGGCACTGTAAGAATATCTTTGTTTTGCCTGATGATGTCCTTGGCCATACATGGCCCTAAACCAATCCTTTGAACAAGAAATTACATACAGTTCATACTTGGTCTTCTTCATTAGTTATATACTGGGTTCCATCTGGTCTATTTATTAAAACTTATAGCTTTTGATGACAAATTTTCTTCATTTTATTGTGTGTGTTTACCTGACTTGTGCACCAACATCTTCAATGTCAAAGTCTGGAGGTTCTATGTCAAATTGATCTTCATTTCTACCATTCTGTGAGAAAAACTATAAAAAAAACCAAAGAAAGTTTAGATAAATGCAATAGGCCATTTTACAGTTGTGTACTTAGTTGCCAAGCCTTTGATTTGGAGTGAGGCTGAAGGTGACCTTGTTGTGATAGAGACCAGTATCTAGTTTGCATGATAACAAAGTAATTTGCATTTGAAAAGCAGCAAGGTTTGTATCATAACAGGGTCACCCTTAGCCTCATTCCTGTACAAAGGCTTGGCAACCAAGCACACAACTGTAAAATGGACTATTACACTCACAGGTAAGAGAAAAAATTTCCATCACTTGACTTTTATGAGAGGGGAATTCCTGGTTTATAGCCTACTATATCAGTCATAAGACCCACACAATTTGCTCATGTGAGTTTGCTTGCAGCCAACAAAAGTTAACCCAGATCAGATTCATCATGTTGCATTAAAAGAGTATTTTACTGCACAGTACAGCATCAAAAATTTACCCCATCAAACAAAACAATCTTACGGACATCAAAAACTGCAACATGAAACTTCCAGTTGTTGACAATGCTTATGTTAAAACCAATATCTGGATTCCTCTAATAAACAAAATAGAGCAGTGTATACACTTACCTCTTGTAGCTGGGCCAAAAGCTGAAAAAGAAAATAGATCTTTCTATCATTTGGTCACTTGCCTAAAAAGTATTGCTGATACAAATATTCCGCAGTTCGTCAAGGAATCCTTACATTCAAATTTCACAAGTTAAACTTCAATACCAAAGAGTAAGGACTTACCCTGGCTCTGCGTCCACACAGATTTTCAAATCCAACAATAAAAACTGCAACTTGCTGTTGATACTAAGGTAGATATAAGGTATATGTATATATTCTTTTTTTTTTTTTTCATTTTCATGAGTTACATTGCAAAACTATGAAAAAAATGAATGTATTTCTTTATAGGGCAAGGTAGTCTTGGTAGTCTTCCATAATCTGATTAGTTCTAATACTTGGTTGGGATTTTTATCATACAGACCATTTCCAAAGGAATGCTCGTGAGCCATATCATTTTGTTTGCAAAAGCCAGCAAATTCAAAATATACAAGTCTGGTCCAAGTGCTGTATATATAATTAACAACCTACTGACCTTAATTGCTCTAGCCATACAGGAGAATATTGACCCTTGTACAAAAATGACCTTGGGCCAATGTTTCCCAGTACAGTCCTCCCACTTGGTTTATAAGAAGTAGATAACTTTTCATTGTTTTCAAGGTCACAGAACTAGTCAGTTTATAAGCTGGAAAGTCAGTATCCCATCAGAGCTTGTCTCCATTTCAGTACCATGAATCAGAGAGTGGAAAGAGGAACTTGCAAAATCAATGGTATTCCTCACTACAAACCAGATCCTAAATGCTGACTTTGTTATTTTCAGTGCAGACATGTATTAACCAATATGCTACAAGGCCTCCTAGAGGGGCAAGTAGAATTCTCATGACAAAAAACGGTTGTTTTCACTCACTAGCCCACAGGGTAAATTTCATAAGGAAGCACATTTCAATCCAATCCCTAAATTAAGCTTCCAGTTGTCTCATACCAACCAGTCTGAAAAGGCCCCTCACTACACTCACAAGTGTTTAATCTCATTCATCAAAAATGAATCTTACCTTTCGTTTAGCTACTGGGTCTGATAAGATAATGAGCAGCTGAGTCTAGGAAAAACAGGTGATAATCAATGCATTTGTTAAAGTAGGAAGTTGCATCACAAAAGGACAGGCTTATTTCTCTGATTCCCTTCCCAGATCTGGCAGCCACAAGCCTTCTCCAGTAGAACAAAGCGGTCGCCTTAACATGCCATCAAAATTTAAATTTGCATTGCTGAAGAAGGTATTAGATTTTGGGATCAGAAATGGAAAGGAACTGTCTTGCAAGTGTTACATGGTTTGTGGAGCATTTAATTTATTGCATGCAGTGTTGCATTTCAGTATATGTTATTATTTCAGTGACAGTTTTCAACTAGACAGAGTTATCACAGTAAGGTCAGCTGTGATAATGATTCTTAATATGTATTGCACAAGTTTCTCAAGGCAGGAGTTTTTCATTTCCATTGAAATACCGAGCGGCCATGGTTTTTAAAATCGACAATACGATGAAATAATAATTTCGAGAAGACGGTAATTATTATTTACGCCAGAATGAACAAAATTGATAAAAATATAGCAGCAAGTTAGTTGCCCTTCGAGTACTCTTGGACCAACTCTGATAAATCATGCTCATGTGAGCAAAATTAATTTTCATGGATCCCACAGATTAGACTGTGGATATAAACTCAGATAAGAAAAAGACTTCAGTATACGCTTGAGAACAAGTCGCTTTTGTCTTAATCTCTCCTTTATACTGCTTCACGAATTGAAAAGTACGTGAACTCAAGTCACGAACAAAAATCAAGAGACAAAGAGAGGACAAGGCGAAAAAGGCAAAGCAATTACATGGACGCCTCTTGATTCCCTTGGGGTGAGATAGGAAGAAAACAAAATGACGGCGTCGTATTGAAGCCCAGCTTACTGCTCGAGTCACGTCTATAATCAAAGATTAAAAACCGGTTGTGCTTTGCAGTTTGACAATTATTCGTAAAAACATTTTGCCCACCATATCATCCACAAATTCCAAAGTCGCTTGTTCTCGGATGAAATCTTCGGCAATACGTTCGACTTCTTTCTCATCGAGTTGATGTCCGGACAATTTTTCGCTCAGCTCGTACGCGTCTATAGTCTATAGATGAAAATAAAGTCGTAAGAACAAAGATAGGAAAATCTATGAAGGTCTTAAATAGGACCTCAATATTGATGTAACAATACTTACCCTTGTAACCCGTTCGTGAATTCGAGTGAGTTCTTCTTGGGTTTCAACAACTTGCCTTATGGCTTTCTTTCTGGCGTTGTCCTGAATGATTGCCAAAGCCGGAGCATCTCCACGCTCCGAAAAATCCTCTACTTCTAACATTTTTTCTTTCCTGATCGACTAACCCATGATTAACACAATATTTTTGCCCCGCAACGACCAGACACGGCGTTAAAATACAGTGTTATGCAGATTAGCTTTAGGTTGCTATATAAACTGTTTATGAAATTTCAGCTATGCCGCTAACACTGTCAGGGGAGGGGTAAGGTAGCTTTCGAAAATCCTTTGTTATGAACATGACAAAAAAATGGCGGGAAATGCGGGGGGACCAAGATCGTAATTAACGTTTTTCTGTTTGTTTGCACATTAGTTTTTTTGGTCTATTTATTAATTTGTTTGTTTGTTAGACTCGTATGCATATGTGCAAACCCGATTAAAATTCGTGCGTGCTCATTCGGCCTTGAAATAATTGTAATAATTCTTATCACGCCATCGGAAAGTATTTTTGAAATCATACGCAAAAACGTCCTGAATTTCAACATTTTTCTTACCTTTCGAAAAATGTACTCAGCTGCTTTACACTATCATCAAGAGATTTTAAACTATTTGTAACCTCCTAATTAAAATTCAGGTTAGGGAGCCGCCAATTTTATACTTTGCTTAGTAACCTGGTCGTTTATCAGGAGCAACTGAGTATCATATCTAACAATTATCACCGAAGTGGAGGTTAACAACGGTGGAAATTTACCTCGCCACCTCGCCACTCAGTAAAAATTCCACCACTTTCATCGATACTGAGGTGAATAACTGTTTTAACGTATACCACACATGTATAGATATCAAAAAATAGTTTATTTCTTTCAATGTACCAAAAAATGGTCGGGAAATAAAACTCTTGACGCACGATTTTACCTCTTCGGCTGCTCGGAGGTGAATAGCACGTGCTATTCACCTATGAACCAGCCAAAAAGCGCATACAAAAAGCACTATTCACCTGTGTGGCACATACTTACATAAATTATCATAACCGAGGTCTGAGTCATCTGCCGAAGTCGAAGGCTCTGTGAGGTAACACAGACAGGATACCTTGATTATTACTTATTTACAGCAATTATTATCTAAGCATAAAATTATGCGATAACATTTAGTTTGCGTTCAGATTATGCTGGAAGAGGAGCCACCTTTTTCTTTTTAAACCAAATAACTGGCCAACATAAGAAAATGCTTTGGATGACACGTATTGCCTCTACCTTCAGATCTCGAACTCGCATGCAATACACAACAGGGTTTATCGATGAATTCGCTATAACGATCAATGTCAATATATCTACTATAAAAAGCGATGTGCTACCAAAACCTTCGATTATAACAAAAACGAAGATAGAGATTATAGGAACATAAGTTAGCAAAAATAAACAGAATATCAGAAACATGCTATTTAGAGATTTGCGATAATGTTCCATTTGAAACGAGCGCAGTGCTTGTACATGAAGTTTTTGCTGTCGTAAAGTTAGGTAGTTCCTTCCGTAAAAATACAGGGAAATGACAATACAGATAAAAACCACAACATCACTGACTATCTGTCTAAATTTAACAGTAAAAATTACAGAGACCGTACAAAAGGCACTGATGAGCCAGCCCAAAACTAAAGCAAGAACAATAAGTTTGACAGTAACCACTGTCTTGTATCTCGTGAGGAGATGAAGAGCGAGATATCTATCCACAGCGATAATGCTCAGCGTCCATAGAGACACCATACTAAAGAAAGTAGTCGTCAGACTGAACGGTAAACCCACGGTACAGTAAAGCCATGCGTTGTCCCAAGCGGCACCCAACAGATATGCAACAAATAAGGGCTGAGTCAGTCCTGTCGCGAGATCGGAGATGGCAAGACTGTAGAACAGTGCCTTTGTAGCGGAGTGCATCGATTTACTGCGCCAAAGAGCGAGTATAACGATTGTGTTACCGACAAGAGCTGTTACTGAACATATTATGCTGCCCATAGCTAAAAAGATGTAGGCAAACGATGAGTTCTGGCGAGCGAAAACGAAAAAAGAAATATCCAAGGAACACGAGATGTTATATTCGCTTGTCGCAGAAAGAGTTTTGGAAAACATTTGTGAGGAATTAGCCATCGCTGAGGTAGTCTTAGTTGATTACACAGGAACTAAATCTGAACTCAGGCGTCTGGAAGCAGCACAGAGGACTATTACCCGTAGCGAAGAGTTTTTGCTTTTTAACTCATGTGAGAATAAAGATAATTATCAACCGATACATTGATTCAATCTCTTTTTAGTGATTGATGTACTTCCAAGCTGTTCCGATATCTATTTGGACCTACTGTTAAACCTTAAGTATTAAGAGCGAATTCGTAAAGACAGAGCAGATACCTATCGTCTTTTGCTTTTAATTACGATTTTAAGCGCAAATGAAATATACATGGATGGCCAAAATCTCAAGTGCTATTGAAAAGACAAGTGACATATGATGTAAACAGTGAACAGTCAAAGTTCTCAGTCCCCGCTCCATAATTAAGCTCTTTTCGTCTTTTCCCTGCTATTGCTGGCATAATCGTTATTGCCTTTCCTTCCCCGCTGAACGATAAAATTAGGAATTTGTTGAACTGAGTTGACCTTTTTGAAATTCAATTGGAATTGGTAATTTTTTCTTGAATTAGTTCAATTTAATTATCTGGAATATCATAATGGACCTTTGAATAGGCAGGTGTTGCAGAAGTTGGCAATTCTCATCAAACAAGTATTTAAATGACTGCTGTCATGTTTATTTTAGAGTGAAAATTTACAAGCTTGACATTAAAGTTTAATGTCAAGCTTGTACATTTTCACATACTTTAATAAAGGATGTGCTTTGAATTCGGGATTTGCTTTCACTTGGCTTTTACGTATCTATACTCACGGGATAGCTCATTTAGAGAAATTTAGATATCGATTTTTGGTTTGGTTTTCAGTTCGAGCGGAAATGAAAACTTAATGTATTACATACCAAGAACGACTTGTCCTAATGGTAAAATCAATCTTTTTTCCACTTGTAGTTAAGGAGCTTAGTAAATACGCATGATTAGCGGGTGCTGAAATTGGCATACACGACTCTTAAAACCTGTTCTTTTGTAAGAAAGAGTCACCTCGATGTACCTCGGCGATTGAAGGGGTAAATATTCATCAAATAATACGTTTCCTTGACAGTGGAGAAAACCGTGACTAAAAACAAAAAATAAAGGAAATAAATAGAAGATGAAACCGTGTTAACGATTTTCCTGACAAGGTAGGTGTGGGCATTGACACGAACAGTGGTGCTGCTTCAGCGAGCATGCAATATTGCCCAGGCTCGGAAAGTTGACGTATTTGAGCGTTGAAAACCTTAATAAAAGAAGAGGAAAATCTCCACTAATGTTGAGGACTGACCACAAGTACTTTAGTGTGTATTTGACATATGAGCACTAGCCTCTCCTTGGCGTAAAAAATATGCTCGGATATTTGTGCCTTGCATATCAACTTTTCCAAGAAGCTGTCGGTTTTTTGAGAGCGAAGAAAAAAGCGCGTCTCTAGGAAAAGATATTATTCAAGGATGATCACACGACCAATTTTTTTTGGGCTAATTTAAAGGGGAAGATTTGTTTTTACAATCCTTCGATTATCGAATGAGGTGCACAGAGCAAAATGTTCACAGAAAGCTTCTTCCTATCAAAACTTTTACTGCGTGGATTGTTGACCTTTTGGAGTTGTTTCGTTACAATAAACAAACTTTTTCACCTTGAAATTTAAATTTAAACGAGAACCCTCATTTTTTTAACAAAAGGCTTAAACGTTTGGATGTATCACTAAGACAATATCACTGGAAAATTCCCGTCCTAGCTGAGGCTTATACTCGGTCACGTTAGACGTTCGTACCTATTCTAGCTCCCAGATCATTCCTACCGCGTAGCTGTCGGAATGATCTGTCAGAACTTACACCTGCTTGGCCGTGGAAGGTCTGGGTACGAGACTGGTGAAGACCATTCCATACGAAGGAAAGCATTTGATGAATTAGAAAAATTCATATCCGACTGTGTTTTGTATACTTCATAATTGACATAAGAAGTTGTGTTTCAGTGGAATTTTCTTTAAGAGAGCACTTTCTGATGCCAGGAGCCCATTAGAAATGGGCTCCTGCTGATGCCTATTCTATGGTGAATTAATTTCTTTGACGGTCAATCTTGTTTATATCTGTCAGGTTTCAAATTCGCCTTGGCGTGTTACCAAGGAAAGTTTAATTCTATGTTCATGTATATCATTAGCAGTCGTCGGGCTGGAAAGGAGGACGAAGACGCAGACGAAGATGCAGACGGGGAGGGACGAGGATACGGACAGGGACGGACGAAGAAACAGACGGGAACGCGGACAGGTACGAAAACAAGGACTAGGATCAGGATGAAGATACTAAGATGAGCATAAGGATCAGATTGAGGTTTTAATATAAGTATTTGAATGTCTTGCAGCACACAAGAAATGAGCGAAATATGTTTCTCAAGCAAAACTGACCGCACCACTTTTACGGAGACTCGATCTGTCTTCAAGCATTAACAATGCAACAACATCAAATTTAGTTCATATCAAGGGAGAGGACCTACCTCCTTTTTACACCAAATTACTGGCAAACAGAAAAAAATTCTATGAATGACGCGTATTGCCTCTACCTTCAGATCTTGAACTCGCATGCAATACACCACAGGGTTTAAGGAGGAGTTTGCCATAACGATCAATGTTGATACATCTAGTATAAAAAGCGATGTGCTACCAAAACCTTCGATTGTAACGAAAACCAAAATACAGAAAAATGGAATGTAAGTTAACAAAAATAAACAGAATATCAGAAACATGCTTTTTAGAGATTTGCGATAATGTTCCACCTGAAATGAGCGCAATGCTTGTACATGAAGTTTTTGCTGTCGTAAAGTTATGTAGTTCCTCCTGTAACAATACAGGGAAGTGACAAAACAGATGAAACCCACAATATCACTGACTACCTGTCTAAATTTCATACTAAAAAGTCTGGAAACCGTACAAAAGGCACTGATGAGCCAGCCCAAAACTAAAGCAGCAACAATAAGTTTGACAGTAACCACTGTCTTGTATCTCGTGAGGAGATGAAGAGCGAGATATCTATCCACAGCGATAATGCTCAGCGTCCATAGAGACACCATACTAAAGAAAGAAGTCATCAGACTGAACGGCAAAGCTACGGTACAGTAAAGCCATGCGTTGTCCCAAGCGGCACCCAACAGATATGCAACAAATAAGGGCTGAGTTAGTCCTGTCGCGAGATCGGAGAAGGCAAGACTGTAAAAGAGCGCTTTTGTAGCGGAGTACATCGATTTACTGCGCCCGAGAGCGAGTATAACGATTGTGTTACCAACAAGGGCTGCTAATGAACTCATTACGCTGCCCATAGCTAATAAAATGTAAGAAAACGAAGAGTTCTGGCGAGCAAAAATGAAAAAAGAAATATCCAAGGAACATGAGATGATATATTTGCTGCTTGTCGCAGAAAGATTTCTGAAGGATATTCGTGAAGAATTGGTCATCGCTTAAGCAAACTTACTTGATTATACAGGAACTCAGGTGTCGAGAAGCAGCGCAGAAAGATAATCTCCGTGGCGAAGAGTTTTTGCTTTTTAACTAACGTGAGTGGGTTATACGTAATTGTCAACAATTTCATTGATTCAAATTAAATTCATTTTTTCCTAATGGATACTTCTGAGCTGTTCCGATAATAATTCTGACTTACTGTTAAACCCTCAGTGTTAAGGGCGAGTTCGTCAAAATTGAAGAGCAGCCCACATCCTTTTGCTTTTAACGAGCATTTAAAGTGCGATTTTATGTCAGACGTGCAAGAAACGAGTGCCTGCCTCAGAACGGAAAGCAACGCCTATACTAATGTTACCTTAAAACCTTCTTAAGAGCCTTTTGAGCGCCATTTTGATACCTAAGAGTAGCGAGGATCATTAGTTGTAATTGAAATTATGGGAAAGAACTCAATCGGCAACTTTCATTGTGAGACAAGTAACGTATGAAATCATGAGTGGGTTAGCAATTTTAAGAGGTTTTGGCTGTTTTTGTGAAGTATTCATTGAAAAGAAATATTTGCTTTCAAATGACCATGGGATGGACTTTCCGAATTTTAAGAGAAATCTTTGTTGAAATAGAGTTTACTTGATATAAACAAATTGGCAGAAGATGCTCCAAGCATGCGACAAAGATTTCGTCTCGATCGATTTACTTTGGTGAGGTCACGGGTTCGAATCCCGTTGAAGCCCTGATTTTTTTCAGGGTTCTTCTTTCCAATTGCTTAAATTGGAAAATTTACTGCGATGATCACATTTCACTTTCATCTACAACCGTAGTACAAATATGAATTATTTCATATAAACTTCACATCATTTCACTGCACGGGAAGATATGAACTCAATAAATTGACCTCGCTCCCAATGTGTGGCTTCATAGCTCAGTTGGTAGAGCATCGCACCGGTATCGCGGAGGTCACGGGTTCGAATCCCGTTGAAGCCCTGATTTTTTTTTTCAGGGTTCTTCTTTCCAATTGCTTAAATTGGAAAATTTACTGCGATGATCACATTTCACTTTGGTGATTCTATGAGTAAATACGCATAAATTTATAAGTTTCCTTCAAGATGGAGAAAACGCTAAAAAGAGGGCAAACAATCACGTTATTGTAACATTTATCCCTGGGACTGGAGTTTTATGGAGCAAAGTCTAAGTTTACTTCAGCTGTTCAGCAGACTTCATGTCCAAACTCCCTCATGTAATATGAAGTAACGAGTGAACGGTCAAAGTTCTCAGTTCCCGCTCCATAATTAAGCTCTTTTCGACTTTCCCTGACTAAAGCTGACGTAATCATTATTGCCTTCCCTTCCCTGCTTAAGAATAAAATTACGAATTTTGTTGAACTAAGTTAAACTTTTTGAAACTTAATTGGAATTGTTAATTTG